CCAGAGAAACCAATTGGGCCAAAGAAGGGTCGCAGAGCCCAAGAGAGAAAGAAAGGGCAAGACCTACTAAGAGGAAATTATTAGGGTTATTTATTAGAATCATTTTAATTATTCGTTTATTTAAGGAGTGCGCAAGGATAATTAGCATGGCGACTTTAGAGTTTATATTGTGTTTATCTTGTATCGATTGGGTTAGTTTGAGATATATAATTAGGATAAACGTAAATTTAGAAGAGAGTTTATCTTTATCAACTATAACCAATTTGGGAGGTCTTTTTTGAGTAAAACATGAGAAGGAAAACGTCGCTATCTAGAAGCCCGTCGATATAAGAGAGAGAAATTAGGGATAGGTGTAGAGAGAAGCTTTTTATTAGTTATCTTATTTTAATCTATTTAAAGGAACATCTCCTTTTATTATAAATCAGTCGATTTTATTTTAGTCTATTTAAAGGGACATCTCCTTTCATTATAAATCAGTCGACCTTATTTTAATTTATTTAAAGGGACATCTCCTTTCATTGTAAATCAGTCGACCTTTTAAGAGAGGGCATTTTTCTCTTAACCTCCATTCTTTTTATTGTTAATTTTCTGGTTTTAGATACAAATAGGTAGTTCATATAAAAACAATTGTAACCAGCCGTCTAAATGTTTTTTTAATATAATTATTATTTCTAGTTTTTGCTTCTTCTTTTTCATATTCATGATCAAATTATATTAAAAAACTATATTTATTGTCAAGCCCCCGTTTCTACAACATGCGAACTGGTCGGATAGAAACCGTGTAATAAGTGTGAGAGAAAGATGCTCATATTTCCACCATTACGTTATATGGTCTGCAATGGCTCTCTTAGTCTTATTTGACCTGTTCTTCAAATGGGAGACATTGTGGATTGAAGTGGAGAGAGAGAGAGAGAGAGATTGAAGTGGAGAGAGAGAGAGGGGGAGACATTGTGGATTGAAGTGGAGAGAGAGAGAGAGAGAGAGAGATTGACCTGTTATGCAAATGGGAGATAATAATGAATTGAAGTGTAGAGAGACCACTCAAGAGAGAGATTGTAACTTAAGCAAGAAGTTTTTATACTCCTACGGCAGTATAAAAGTCCATTTATCCCTTAGGTAAACTCAACATTAGTATCTCGAATTTTGAGGTGTAATTTTTTCAACCCGTAAACCAATGTGCTAAAGGATATGGTTATAAATAATGAGAAAAGATATGGAGATTCATGACTTCATTGAAAATATGACTTTTAAGATAGCAGAATAACATGTCCGGATTAGTGTAGCTGACCCAATCAGTTGAAAAAAAGCTTTGACGGTGATGAATCGCCTCAGCACATAGACTAATCTTACTAGAAATTTTTTTTTGATGGGACTCTCAATATATTAAAAAAATAATGTTTTAAAATTGAATAGAGACCGTCCAATTTTTTAAAGGAAAGGTCTAAGTGTTTAAAAATTCAAAATTAATTTTTTTTTTAAATAACTATCCAGTAACTTTTAAAAGTTTCCCCCAAATTCATTACAAAAAGGAATCCTCCCAAGTGGGTCTTTGTACGAGGAAGTAGATCACAATAATGTGCTCCAAGGGCATAGTGTCCCCAACCTTACTGCTCCCGCGGGAGCATAGTATCCCGAATCTTAACTTAATCAAACCGCAATATTTGAGGCCATTATAGACTAGTATTATCTTGTACTAGGAAAAGAACGGTCCAGATTTTCTGTAACAGCACGAACCGACGAAGTGTACTAGATCCCAACCGCCAATATCCTAGGTTTCAAAAGAACGGTCTCGGTTTCCAAACTCTTCAATCGTCACCGTCAATCGTAATGAGCCTCCGTAATGCGGGCCCCACGCGGTTGATCACTTGAATCAAGAAGTTAGACTCCTAGCTGTGCAACCGAGAGGCCCTTTTATATTATTACGGCAATCGTTGACTATAATGCCCCTATTTTTATGTGAAATAGCTAAGTTATCGCTGAATTAAAAATAGGGAAAAATACCTTTGTATACCCAAACATCTAAATTATTTTTAGGAGTATAAAGTCCTTATTTTTTCTATCTTTTAACCTTTGATCATTTTGACCGCATATCATCGGCTAAAATAATCTGTCTGTGAAATGACTCATATCTCTTTCCCTCAAAACTCCGTCTAATCTCTCTCACAAAACTCCATTTCTTTTTCATCCCCTTCTCTCTCTAAACTTTGTCTCTCATTCTCTTGCCCCTCTCTCTCTAAACTTTGTCTCTCATCCTCTTGCCCCTCTCTCTCTCTCTCTCTCTCAAATACACAAAGTAAGGTTTGGGTTTCCCTTGCAAGACGCGCATCATCTCTTTTCCGGTAATGTCCCTTCCACTAAAGTAGCAAAGTAAAGATGGCGAACAAGTTTTGCAATGTCTCCGGTGTGGTATTAACGGTGAGGAGAGAGATTTGATCCACCTTGGGCTGAACATCGCAAGTTGGGCACTGTTTATAGAGAGAGAAAACCTTCGATCGCATGGCGAGAGTTGTGTGGTAGTATTGACAAAGAAAGAAGACCTCAGAAGGCGATACCAAATGTGAAGCCAGCCATACTGTTGACAAAGAAAGCAGACATCAGAAGGCCATACCAAATGTGAAGCCAGCCATACTGTTGACAAAGAAAGAAGACCTCAGAAGGCCATACCAAATGTGAAGCCATCTGATTTCTGGATGCAATCGTTTGGCAAAGCTGGAACACATTGTTATTGTCATCCGCCATGGCCACATATGTCATTATTGCAAGCACCACGATTGTATTCTCTACCCTAAAGAAAAACCTTAA